TTCTTCCTTGTATCATCATCATTGTCCTCTTTGTCATCGACGTCATCATCATCATCATCATCCTTTTTAGTCTGACTTGACCATGAAAACCATACTCTACAACTGAAAAAAAGAGACATTGTCAATTAATTACTGAGATTGGGTGTCCTTTATGCTTTTGTCCTCATTATTGTTTGTTTGTTTACCAGCATGAGTCAATATATTGAATTCATATTGTCAAGAATTACTCATTAGCTTTTGAAAAACACGTAAACATCAGTTTTAAAAGGTGATAATCAACACGTTAGGAGACTGATCCTGGAAGGAGAGAGATCTTTGCCTTTGTCTCAGCTTATGTGTCAGGATCGCTGAAGATCCGGGGGTTAGAAATTATGTGAAATTTTCTGAGATAAATTATAAAATTATTTCAATCATTTCCTCATTAGCTTATGACTTCACCTGGCACCTAAATGAAAAACTGTGATTCTTTATTGTGATAGGAATTTCTTGGGGGAAAAAAGTTAAGTACAGTCAATAAGGGAGTTGAAATGATGGGATTTATAAAACCTCTGTTGCCCTGTTGATAAAGATGTTGTCTCCATTTGGAACCAGAGGAAAGTGGAGTGCAGCCCCTGGGCCTCCCATTCCAGACATCTATGTAAACATTGGGTAGGTCCCTCTGTTTGATAATAGATTAACACACAGAAATAGGATTAGTATGAACAGTGTTGTAAAGGAAAGCCTTTTGTGTGTATCCTTGTAAAGCACATGCTTTCTAAAATAAGCGTTGTGATTATTTAAATGTAAGCCTTAATATGAGTTGTCCCAAGACTCTCTCTATATAAAAATTATTCATCAAATCATAGCTTTTTACTTGTTTTCCAACCTGTGTTGTAAACTTCACTGAGCTTTCATACTTGAAATAATTCCCCAATTCTTCCATGCCCCAAGTTCCTAAACTCTATTCTAAGTTGCTTTAAAGATTATTTTGTTCTTCAGGTGAAGAATCTGAGCATGACAATATCTTTATTGCTTAGTACTTAGAATGCTGTGCTTCAGGATCCCTTTATGTTCTAAAAAATTCTTGAAGACCCCAGAGACTTTTTGCTATGTGGGTCATATGTACCGACACTTTTGAAAATTAAAACCAAGAAATAAAAATATATAACTAAGAACTTAAAATTAGAATAATAAACACATCACATGCTAATACTAATGACACTTTTAAATGAAAAACAGGTATGTTATTCTAAAATAAAATATACTGCTGAGTATATTTGAGTGCACATTCCTATAATCCCAGAGCTCCGGAGGCTGAAGCAGGAGGGTCTTGAGTTCAAAGCCAGACTCAGCAAATTAGCAAGATCCTAAACAACTTAGGGAGATCTTGTCTCTAAACAAAATTTAAAAGGGGGTGGGCTGGGGATATGGCTCAGTGCTTAATCACCCCTTGGTACAATTCCAAGTCCAACACAAAACAAAACAAACAAACTCTAAAAATAAATGTTAGTAAATAGATAAATAAAATAAAAAATATTTAGGGAGGAGAGTAGCACTATTTTAATTTTTTCTGGTTCTCCTTAGTTTCTGTCTTAGTAGAACAGCTGGATTCTCAGAGCTGTTTCTGCTCTCTATCTATTGCAATAGGTGGTCTTGGTTGTATTATAGGAAGAAAATGTTGTATCATACAGACAAGAGAACACTAAACTTTTCAGATCATTGAGGATACCCTTGCCTAGTACCTAATGTCATTTTAAAACTCTATTCCTGCTGTGTTATTCTTCTGTTCCACTAGTGCTATAACTGGGTTCACATATTTTAGATGTATAATTGAGGATATTCTGTGATGCTATTACAAAACTTGACAGGTGGTACTTTGTACATTAACAGTCATTGGTCTGTCTTTGAGTCAATTTTATACCCATGCATAATTTTGTTAACATCATTCAGTGGTCATTTGCAAAATATGAGTTCACAGTTTTATAGCTAGTGCTTCTAAATGTTGACTCATTCCATTACACAGCATAAATAACTACTTCTATGAATATTACCACTTATTCCAACAGAAAAATTGTTTTACATTTTGGAAAGCTGTCAAGCTCACAGTGGTGGATTCCACTTTCTAAATTCTAATATTTGATTACAAGCTAAAATGTTTTTAATTGGCAATAAATGCTTCTAGTGTTTTCCTTGATTTGACAGGCTTGTTTCACTCATTTTTTGAGAAAATTTCTGCCAGATACCCAAGTAAGGATAATTAGAGTTTCAGTCATTCTTTCAGGTAAAAGTGATATTATATGGACATGGGGGAGCAGCTAATTCAGCCTGCAACTCAGTTACACAAGTGTGTGTGTGTGTTTTTAATCAGGGAAGCTTCAGTAGCTAGCAAGAGGACTTTATGCATACTTTCCATTTTATCACACAGAATATTAAATAATATATTTCAAGTGTTGAGATTTAATAAGATTGGTAAATTTTACTGCTTGATCAAGGACACTGTTAAGTAAGACTGATGTGTTGTGTGTGTGTGTGTGTATGTGTGTATATGTCTGTGTGTGTGTGTGTATATGTGTGTGTGTGTGTGTGTGTGTGAAGGCCAGATCTATTTCATATTTTTAAATAAAATATAGATACATTTTTCAAGAAGATTCTTAGGAAGGAGAGTAGAACTATTTTAAATTCTTCTAGTTCTCCTTAGTTTCTGGCTTAGTAGGAGACACCTGGGTTCTCCCAGCTGTTTCTGTCCTCAGTCAATGGATGGTTTTGATTACATTAGGAAGATGTGGCATCAAATAAAAAAAAGTGAGGACTTCTGTCTTTCCATTTAGTGAAGAAATGTGATTACCAGTACATAGTAGTGCATGTTCAAGTGCAAACAGTCTTACCATTCTCTTTGCACCATCAGTGCAAATGTTAACACAGTGAAAATGTAAATAACAACATAGTGTGGTTATTATTCCCATAGTATGGAAAATTATTTTGACTTTGTGCCTGAAATGTCCTTAGGCACCCTGTAGGGCCTCAAATCATACTTTGACAACCTCCAGACCTAAGGTATGACCAACTCCAGACTAAAATTTGAAGTAGCTAAGGATTACCTCTGGAACCCAAACCTATATCACTGTTCATGTACTCTTGTCCCCAATGGACCATTGGACAGGCCAGGAGGTACAGGGTCTAAACTGGAATCCCTGGAAAACTGCCTTTGAAAGCATTAGTTCTGAACATCCATCCATTTCCTCCTTTCACAATATATTTCCTGTGGATCTCATTCTGAGGGCGAAACTCCCTATGAAGTATCTGGGAATCCTTAACATAAGATCTCATGTAATATCTTCCTTTTTTGTCTTCTATATTCATCACCAATAAAACTGTATGTTATACTTAGAATGGTAAATATCTGTTAACATTTTTAATACGAGAAATGACTCTCTAAGAAAAAATGTCCAATATCATTGTTAAATTATAGTTTTCAATAGGATAAAAACATGGCTTACATACAAAATAGAATAAATATGTTTTAAAGATTTATTTACCTCATTAATAAAGGAAACAGCAGAATAGTAAACCTAGTTCAAAGGACAGAATAAGAAAAAAATATATAGTCACTAGAAAAAAAGGTTGAAATAATCCTGCAAATTAGATTCAAAACTGATTAATGTCCTGCAGTACAATAAAATCTGAATCTTTGGAGTTCCATTTCCTACTGGATAGAAATTATTTGCCTGTCTACTGGTTGAAAATAATTTTCAGCTTATCCATCTTATATAAGTAAAAATATAGATTTACCAAGTCCAGATCCGGATCAACAGAATTGCAAAGTCAAACACAGTTGCCTTCCTCTAGAGCAAAAATTGACCCACATGTGGGCTTGTTCAACATTGCTCCTATATAGCCTTAGAGGGGAATCTCCAATCTTTTTATTTCCAAATTTTGAAACTTGCTTCTCTTAAATTGGCAACAAAACTATATAGAAGGAGACTTGAAAGAAGATCATCGCAGGCTCTTAAAGTTATATATATATATATATATGTATATATATATATATTTTGAACATCTATTTTATGTATCATATAAATTTCATACATTTATTTTATTTGCACAACAACTTCATGAAGTAGATATTGTTGTTATTTATTTCACAGAGGAGGAAACAGGGAGAGGGAGGTGGTAAGTTACATAAGGTAATGCCACTAATAAGTAGTAAAGATTCAGTTACAACATCTGACTTTTAACCATTACTGAATAGTGCTGCCTAAATTGCACTGCTTCAGGTTTCTTGTTATTGTTGTAGAGGTTTATGCAAATATTCTTTTGTCTCTGGCAAGCAAACTTTATTCATTTACTTTATAAAATAATAATTTTCTGATTTAAAAATATAAAATAATTTTAGAAGTTACAAATAACAAGTCTCTCAGAATTTCAATACTTAGAAACCCAGTTAACAATTTGATGCATTTCCTTGAAATTTTTATTCATGGATTAACTTATTCATATGTGTTACAAGTTGTACTGTGATCTATAACGTGGAAACACCATTTTAATTACATAAATAACCACAGTGTATTTGATAGATTCTTTATTATTAGGCATTTAAGTTTTAATATTTAATAGTATAAATAATGTGATCAGCCTCTCTTAATCAAAACATCATTTTATTTTTCTATTAACTCAGGGAAAAGTCATTATAATTATCTATAGTTTTTAGTTGAAAAAGGTAGTAACTTACACAGAACATAGCTGGTAAAGATAATGCCTGGGATAAGCCCTTAGAAAATGAAACATAGAATATCAGCCACCCATGATGCAGAAATCTGGGTTCAGATATTTTTTTTTCTACCATGTTTTCTAAGGCATAAGAATCAAAGGCCATGGGAAAGTCTGGTATTCATTGTAATGTCTATGTACATATTGAAACTTGCATTTACTATCATTATTTGCAAAATATTGCTTTCTTGAGATAAAATCTATCCTCTGCCTTCTTACACTGAGTAAATCAGCATCTACTTTGTTCTTCTAAGGCAATAAAGCATGCCCTGGGAGGTGATACTTCATAAATACGTGAGCCATATGCTGCCATTCACAATCCACAGGTGTGTTTTATCAGATTATTGATATTTCTAAATAGACACAAAGCTTCAGTCTGTCCAATGCTGTAAAACTCTCTTTTTGAGAGGCAGGGTTTGTTTGTTTATTAGATTAACAGAAAATTATCTTCAGTTTTGACATATACAACATATGGAATTGTACAGCATTACTAGGCAAAACAAGCACTCAACCACAGCTGTTAACACACCAAATTCCACCAAATGTTCTAGATTTGAGGAGTGTTCAAAAGTTCTTCCATGCAAAGGAGATATTAAAATGTAGTAACCTTATCAGAGAGCCTGTGACTTTCCTTTTTCTTGTCTCCAGGCAATGGAGAGCAGAGGTTATCTATATTTTGACCCTAACACCCACTTTAATGATGTAAATACACTTTTCTCTTGTGCCAAGAGGGTATTCTCTCCACAGATGATAGTCTTGGGGGATGCAGGTTCAAACATGGATCCCACCTTCTGAAATTACATTTCCTAGGCTTTTGTCAATTTGACTTGTTCTTATTTATTTATTTTTTCAAAAACGTTTCCATAGCATTACTAGTGTTGAGTGGATTAGTGAGAAAAGTAAACAAGAATATTTTTGAAAAAGGGCTGATGTGTCTGCTTTGAAAGATATACTGAGGTCAGAAAGGGTCTTTTTAACAGTCTGGATATACACAATCTTCTGCTTATTAAAAGCACAAAACAAAACAAAAAACTTGGTCATCACCAACAACAATCTACTTTTCCAGCTAGCTCTCAACACAAATGTTCATTATTTTGAAAATGTTCTTCATGTGGAAGCAATAGGAATTCTGACACAATTAGTGGTAAACTGTGACATCCATCCTCAAGGGACTCATGTAATTCCCAAATGTATTTTCAGCTGCTTATGGCATTGTATAGCTTCCCAAGTGTAAAAAAAAGAAATCCTATATTTTGTCCACAGGAGCTACTGTAGACAGAAAAAAAAAAAAAAAGCCATGTATTTGTTTCTTCATGTGCTTCTGAAGCTACTGTCAGAATCCACATGGAGAGAAAAAATGTTATGACTCTTAAGACTGAAAATAGCAAATTCCTAGTGATATTGATGCATTCATACAATAACCAGAATTTCCTTATACCAGCTCCGTAAAGCTGCTTCCTGAGAGGTGTCCTGAGCTCCAGAGGGTCCTTGATGGTCACTAATAGTGCAGGATGAGCCACTGGGAAGTTAGAAAGCTGGACTGGGAGCAACATTGGGCAGATGTTCCTCTGGTGTGAATCCAAGGCCTTGGGCCTACACATAATAAAATAAGAAATAAACAAAAACAAAGCAAGTTTTTTTTTTTCCCCCTGCTATTCATGCTAGAGTTTGACTTGAACTCCATTAATTCTGGGCCCCATCGGGCTCCAAATTCCTCAATAGGACGCCCATAGCACAAGAGTTAATATCTAGAATCAACAAATGGGACTTACTCAAACTAAAAAGTTTTTTTTTAGCAAAAGAAACAATAAGAGAGGTAAATAGGGAGCCTACATCATGGGAACAAATCTTTACTCCTCACACTTCAGATAGAGCCCTAATATCCAGAGTATATAAAGAACTCAAAAAATTAGACAATAAGATAACAAATAACCCAATCAACAAATGGGCCAAGGACCTGAACAGACACTTCTCAGAGGAGGACATACAATCAATCAACAAGTACATGAAAAAATGCTCACCATCTCTAGCAGTCAGAGAAATGCAAATCAAAACCACCCTAAGATACCATCTCACTCCAGTAAGATTGGCAGCCATTATGAAGTCAAACAACAACAAGTGCTGGTGAGGATGTGGGGAAAAGGGTACACTTGTACATTGTTGGTGGGGCTGCAAATTGGTGCAACCAATTTGGAAAGCAGTGTGGAGATTTCTTGGAAAGCTGGGAATGGAACCACCATTTGACCCAGCTATTCCCCTTCTGGGTCTATTCCCTAAAGACCTAAAAAGAGCATGATACAGGGACACTGCTACATGGATGTTCATAGCAGCACAATTCACAATAGCAAGACTGTGGAAGCAACCTAGATGCCCTTCAATGCACGAATGGATAAAAAAAATGTGGCATTTATACACAATGGAGTATTACTCTGCATTAAAAAACGACAAAATCATAGAATTTGGAGGGAAATGGATGGCATTAGAGCAGATTATGCTAAGTGAAGCTACCCAATCCCTAAAAAACAAATGCCAAATGTCTTCTTTGATATAAGGAGAGTAACTAAGAACAGAGTAGGGAAGAAGAGCATGAGAAGAAGACTAACATTAAACAGGGATGAGAGCTGGGAGGGAAAGGGAGAGAGAAGGGAAATTGCATGGATATGGAAGCAGATCCTCAGGGTTATACAAAATTACATTCAAGAGGAAGTGAGGGGAAAGGGAAAAATAATACAAGGGGGAGAAATGAATTACAGTAGAGGGGGTAGAGAGAGAAAAGGGGAGGGGAGGGGAGGGGAGGGGGGATAGTAGAGGATAGGAAAGGCAGCAGAATACAACAGACATGAGTATGTCAATATGTAAATCAATGGAAGTGTAACTGATGTGATTCTGCAATCTGTATTCGGGGTAAAAATGGGAGTTCATAACCCACTTGAATCAAAGTGTGAAATATGATATATCAAGAACTATATAATGTTTTGAATAACCAATTAAAAAAAAATAAATTGTTAGGATGGATTGACTAGCCTATATTAAAAAATTATAATAATAAAAAGTAAATCTATTCTTATCATTAAAAAAAAATTCTGGGCCCCAGCAAACCACAACATTATAGTAAAACTTGGTAGCATCTCGGAACCTAAGGAAATCCAAGGGCTAATTGACTCCTGCAGGAGCACGTGGTCACCAAGAATATAAACATGCTTGTCTTTCATTTACCACACTCCAACGATCACCAGAAGTTTGTGGTCCCATTTCCCATGTTCTCATGTTAATAGACAAGTGCATATTCCTTTAAAAAACAAAACCCTTTCAGTGCCCACAGTTCAGATATTGACATCATGTGGTTTTTAGTTAGGTCTTGAATGATAGAGCTCGGGGTGGTATTTATTTGGATAAAAAGACAGGAAGAGATAGGACTTAATGCTTCTTCAGTCTTCTGCATCTCACTGAACAATGACTGCTTTCTTTCCATGGAGTTTGAATCCAGTCAGTGTCTACCTTGTAAGGAGCTCTGTGCTTTGAGGACACCTGGGAACAGTCCTCACTTTGCCACTTTCCAGCTGGTTTTCAGTGTACTCTGCTAAGCCTCATCTCCTTACTCGTTAAATGTTACAGATCCTCTTGCCTCCTAAGACAGTGTGCAATGAGATGAGAAGGTAAGGTCTTTTTTTTTTTTTTAATCACTTTTCAACAGTATTTTGAATTCAAGAAAAAAAAAATATTTTTTCTTCTTTCCTCTGGAGGTATCTAAAGATGAAGAGGTTTCTTTTACCTTCCTCTTGCCTTAGTAGAGAGTACGTGTTAACTTCAGAAAATAACTGTCCAAACAATCCTTTGGTGTTCATGCTTTGACCTGGACACAGGACACAGTGTCCTTCCTTCTTTCTCTCTTTTTTTCTCTTTGTGAACCCTCAGGCAGTGAGAAACCAGAGGCTTAGATGACTTCAATTTAAAGAAGGCCTCCTGTAGCTGCCCAAGGCTGTATCAGCTGCAATCTGGGCTGGGAAGGAATTGCTACTCTTGAATGCAAGAGCAGATTATTCAACAGACCCAGGGCAGATAACTGAAGCAGCTCTAAAGAGCCTCTATCAGCCTGCTCCAGCTGCCATAACAAAATGTCACAGACTGGGTGGCATAAGCAACAGAAAATGATTTTCTCATTCTTCTGGAGGCTACAGGCCCAAGTTCAGGGTGTTGGATGCATTGGTTTTGGGTGAGGACTCCCTTCCTGGCTTTTATGAGACTACACTCTCACTGAGTCCTACAGGGCCTTTTTACTACTCAGTAGGAGATGAGAGGGGGAGAACGCCTTTGTCTTTGTCTTATCAGGGCATCAATTCTATCAGATTAAAGTCTCACCTTTATGACCTCATTTGACCTTAATTACCTTCCTAAAACCCCTATCTTCAACTAGAGCCACATTGTTGCTTAGGGTTTCAAAATGTGAATTTGTGGAATGTGTGTAATTCAGCCCATAACACATAGATAGTTACATTGTTATGGTTAAAGAAATGTCTATTTTATGCAAATCTGGTATGTGTGTTCTGTGCTGTTGTGATCTCAGAATTCCATGAAAATGGTCAAGGTCCATTTTCTTTTTTCTCAGAAGGATTTGTCATGAATCATCTTTGTCACTTATTGTCCTATATACCTATCTCCCCTTTAGTTTTTAAACTCACATTATTAATTTTCATCCAATTAATCTGTCTCTGAAATATGTTGGACTCTGTCTAGTACTCTGTGAGTACTGCAGCTTTCTGTCTTGCCCTTGGTTTCTCATTGCTTAGCACAGTACATGGCTCATAGAAAGTGTCTCAGTTATATGATCTTATTTTTCTTGAACATCAAACACATTCCTGCCTCAGGACCTTTGCACTTGAAATCTCTCTCTTGAAACATGCTTGCTCTAGTTGTCTGTAAGACTGATACACTAATCACAAATTTCTACTCAACTCCTACCTCCTCCTGCAAGGCCTTTTCTTTTTCTTTTCTTTTCTTTTCTTTCTTTCTTTTTCTTTTTCTTTTTCTTTCTTTTATTATTTTTATTTATTTTTTTATTTTTTTTTGGTTCTGGGGATTGCACTCAGGGGCACTCAACCACTGAGACACATCCCCAGCCCTATTTTATAGTGGGTCTCACTGAGTTGCTTAGTGCCTCACTGTTGCTGAGGTAGGCTTTGAACTCATGATCCTTCTGTCTCAGCCTCCTGAGCTGCTGGGATTACAGGCGTGTGCCACCATGCCCAGATCCAAGTCCTTTTTTCATTGAACTAATTAAAATCTGTCCTGTATCCTCTCATCTTCCACATAAAACTTTCCAATAGCTAACCTTATACTATGTGTCTGTTTAGTTTCATTGATGTCTGCCTCCGGCTCTAGAAATTCAGCTTTGAGAGGGCAGAATATTCATCTACTTTGCTTACTACTATTTTGCTTCTTTTTCAAGTATAGAGTCTGGAATGCAGAACATATTTGGTGATTATCTATTACATAAATGAATGGACAATCTCTTGAATAAATTAAACCAGTGAAATTTTCTTTTGATTTTAGCTCTTGCAGAAAAGGGGTCTTGGATCATAAAAATAGGAAATATGTTAGTTAATTCTCCCAGGGACACACCCCCTCTACTTCTTTTGTTCCATTTCTTAGGTTCCCAGGAGCCTTTTCCTTGAAGTTAGGAACAGGTGTCCCTCCTACACACTTGACTATTATAGTTGTCTTGCCCCTTCTGAATTTTCTCAACCACTTACTAGAACACAATTCCATGAAGGCAAAGACCATGATTACTGGTGCAGAGTAGCGATCATTTCATACTTGATGGTTGAAGGTTAAGGCTGAGTAAAATGGGGAAAAGGTCTTCTAAGACATATGAGCTCAAATAGTGTATTTTCCTAGCTTATATTCTAGCTTCTGTGAGACCATTCTCTGCCACCTTTAAGATTGTTAATAGAGTGAGTCCTCCCCCCAAAACTCATGCATTACAAGGTTTCATGCAAAATCATAACGCCAAAGTGACCAGAATCTTTTTTTTTTTTTTGCTTTTTTCATTGGTGCATTACAGTTGTACATAAGATGGAATTTGTTGTTATGTATTCATCCATGTGCATAATGGAGCCATATGATTTGGTCAATATCATTCCCTGGTATTTCTCCTTTTCCCTCTTCTCCTCCCTCCCATGGTCCCTTTTATCTACTCTATTAATATCCCTTAGATTTTCATATGATACATCCCTACCTTTATTTTCCTTTTCTTTCTCTCTGGCTTCCACAAATGATATAAAACATACAACCTTTGACTTTCTGAGTTTGGCTTATTTCACTTTAAATGATGTTCTCAAGTTCCATCCATTTTCCTATAAATGACACAACTGCATTTTTTATGACTAAATGAAACTCCATTATGTACATATACTACCTTTTCTTCATTCATTCATCCCTTGACAGATGCCTAGGCTAGTTTTATAGTTTGGCTATTGTGAGTTGTCCTGCTATAAACATGGGTATGCATGTATCACTGTAGTATGTTGACTTTAATTCTTTAAGATAAATACTGAGGAATGGTATA